AATTTGTATGTTGGTTGATGGAAGAATACTTGATGAAATAAGAAACTCTCTCCTTTCATTTGTCATCTTGCCATTTTTCTTCTTATTTTATAGTATAAATATCCTTTCTCTTTATTCTTAACTGTAACAATTTAAAAAAAAAAAAAAACCCCCCTTAAGAATTTATATAAAAGAAGTGCGCCACAATAAAAAAAACAATATATATTGAATTAAATGAAACTTTTGATATTAGAGAGTGTTTCATTTAATAATTACTTTTGTAATAAATGAAAAATAATATATGTATCTTGTTTTATAGTTAGATTATTTTAAACTATAAAATAAAAATTATTTGATGATGAGAAAGCTCTTAGCATTAAAGCCTTTTTTTTATAAAATAGTTAATGTTTTATAATTAAAAATAATTTAAATTGTAAAATATTTTTTAAATATTAAATTAAAAAAAATTCTCATCTAATGACTATTATTTTATTATTTTGTAATTTAATATAGTTTTAACTACAAAATATTAGACATATGAATTTATATCTATTAGTAACATATATGATCAAGTAATAAATTGTCTACTCTTTAAAAAACCCGGATTTATAAAAAATGTATTGTACTTTTTCTTTTCCTAGAATTTGGAGCTAAAGCTTAACTCCCACAAATCCCACAAAAATTCCCCTCTTTCCTCTCTTTCCGCCATGTTTTTCCTTCTTTTCACCCGTTGCTATCTTCCCTTCATTTTTCTCCTCGAGTTTCTTCTTCTTGTCAGCTTTTTTTTATCTCCGTTGCTAGCATAGGCAGGCTTAGCTTTTTCCTTTTTGTGTCGAATCTGAATAAAACAATTAAGTCCAAATCTAGGTAAATTTCAAGATTCATAGAGGAAGATAAGACGAGAAGAAGAATGCGGCAAACTCACCTCACCCATTCACTGAAACTTTTTTTTTTTTCTTGAATATTGAATTGAGTTAAGGCAGTTAGCAGAGAACAGAGAATTGTATGAAGAAAGAAATCGGAGGCAGAGGGGGAATTTATAGGAGAGGAGGGAT